ACAGTTACATCCAATAGCAATAATGGAGTCCAACTGAAAGGAACTCTCCTGGGTGCCTATGTTCGTCTATGAATCTTGATCCCTGAAAGTTAATTCATTGCTCTTTACTTACTTCAAAGACTAAGAACTGAGTAAACCATATGTTTGTTGGGTATACATGCATTTGTAAACATTACAAGACAAACCAATATTGCCCAACAAGCATGATGAGAGATATTTTATCTCATTTTTATGGTAAATTTTTTTGAGCTGGTAGTACCCTTCACATGGCTCAAAATTCAAAGGGTATAGATAGATAGACAGTAAAAAGTTGCCTTTCCCAGAGATAACCAATGTATTATTCCTGGAACATTTCATCACACACACACACACACACACATACACACACACATGCTTATCCAACATACTTAGCTTACTCTACCACAGCATCAAAGAGGCTTTCAGATAATAATAGGAATCCTTCGATTACCTCCTCCTGGGGAATGACAACTTGAACAAGCCCTTGGAAATCTCTTAGGACCAGGAAGATGTTTTGCCTGATCAATGAAGAAAATGAACATGTGAGGACAAAAATCTCTGAGCGAAAAATTTAAGCAGGCAAAACAACAAACAAACAAAAATGCATGCAATTTCCCATGTTCTTTTTATAATAAATAATTATATGTTTTCATTATGTGCTACATTCATGCAATTATCTATATAAATTTATTAATGTAAAAAAAACCAGACTTTGCATTTGTTATTTTCTTAATCTTCTGTTTATAAATTTTTTTAAAAAGATTTTATCTATTTATTTGAGAGAGAGCTCACAAGCAGGGGGAGCAGCAGAGGAGCAGAGGGAGAAGGGGAAGCAGGCTCCCCACTGAGCAGGGAGCTCCAACACCAGGTTCTGATCCCAGGATCACGACCAGAGCCAAAGGCAGCCATTCAACCAACTGAGCTGCCCAAGATGCTCCTGTTTTTTTAAAAAATGGGAGTTCTTCATTGGGCTTCCTGCTGTGTGGGGAGCTTGCTTCTCCCTCTGCTTGCCACTCCCCCTGCTTGTGCTTGTTCACTCCCACTCTCGTTCTCTCTCTGACAAATAAATAAAATCTTTATTTTTTTTTTTAAAGATCTTATTTATTTGACAGAGAGAGAGAGAGATCACAAGTAGACAGAGAGGCAGGTAGAGAGAGGGGGAAGCAGGCTCCCTGCCGAGCAGAGAGTCAGATGTGGGGCTCGATCCCAGGACCCTGGGATCATGACCCGAGCTGAAGGCAGAGGCTTAACCCACTGAGCCACCCAGGCGCCCCTAAATAAAATCTTTAAAAAAAATTTTTTTTAAAAAAATAAACTCCATTCCACAAGAAGGGCTTGAAATCACACTCTGCCCACTGAGCCAACCAGGCACCCCAGGCTTTTCATTTTCAATTTCAATTTTTACTGGTTATACATGCAGCTAATGTTATCCAGCTGGCTTGTTAGTAACAGGCAAATTTTTAATTTTCATTGGCTTAAGTCTTTATAAGAAAATTTTATTAAATTTGGAAACTTTTCAAGTATTAAAATCCGAAGATATTTTAGGATATTAGAAATATCCAATTGGTCATTTCTTAAATATAGAAATATAAACTCTTTTCTCTTTCTTTTCCTTTTTCTTTTTTTTCTTTTTTAGGATTTTATTTATTTGAGAGAGAGAGAGAGTATAAGGAAGGGGGAACAGCAGGAAGAGAGAGAGAGAGACAAACAGGCTCCCCGCTGAGCAAGGAGTCCATAGTGAGGCTTGATCTCAGAACCCTGGGATCATGACCTGAGATGAAGGCAGACACTTAACCGACTGAGCCACCCATGTGTCCTTATAAACTCTTTTCTTAAAAAATACAACTATAATTTTTTACAGGTGGTCCAAGTACTAATACTTCCACAAACCATCAAGAAGGTTCCCCAAATCCCAACATTTTAGTGTTCAACCCGCACTTCTTATACTATCCTTAGGACCAGGCAGGTACAGAAAACCTCTCTGGATTTTGAGTTCAGAAGTCACCACATTTATGGGTCAAATATCCACCCATTTGGAGCATACTCTTTTTTTTTTTTTTTTTTTTTTTTGAGGATTTTATTTATTTGTCAGAGAGAGCACACAAGTGCAAAGTACAGGGAGTGGCAGGCAGAGGGAGAAGCAGGCTCCGTGCTGAGCAAGAAGCCTGACGTGGGACTCCATCCCAAGACCCTGGGATCATGACCTGAGCCAAAGGCAGATGCTTAACCGTCTGAGCCACTCAAGTGTCCCCCTTTGGAACATATTCTTCAGGAAGGCCACACAGTCTCTGTATTTTGGAACTCTTCATTGTTAATTAATGTACTATTCAGGTATGTGCTAGAATATCGAGATGAACAACAAAATAGGCTTTAATCTTAACGAATCTCTGTTCATGTTTTTAGGCTTTTTCTCTACCTAAATTTAGAATAATAAAACTTTTTCATGCTATTGAAGCTACCAGCTGGCCCACTCCCAATTACTGCTCCTAGAAACTCCTCAACTTGAGTAGGCTAAGGGACATTTCAGTCCACTGGTGGAACACGTGTTATTACACCCTTCAACACATGCCACTCCAGTGACTCTATTTGGGTCTTGCAAAACAGATCTGAAAACTCAAGGAATTCTGAGAATCCTGCAGGAGTTGCAAAGCTTTTGCTGTTCTGATTGGAAACTTTAATAAAAGTTTGGAATTGACTGGGGGAAAACAACCTCCAGTCATTCTTTTGGGGGAGGGAGGGGCAGGAAGCTTATCTTAAGCAGGCAGATTCCAACACAGGGCTCTATCTCAGGACTTTAAGATCATGACCTGAGCAGAAATCAAGAGCTGAAAGCTTAACTGTCTCAGCCACCCAGTCACCCCTCACCACCAGATACTCGTAGGCCAGTTTACCTTCGGTACTGAATCCATCCACACAAAGTGACTTCTTGGCCTACGTGAGAAGAACGCAACTCTCCACACGTGTTGGTCCGAGCAACAAAGCTACTGAATTCTTTAAAGAAAAGCAAGATTAAAAACATATTATTTCCAAATTGCTTGAAAATAAAGACCCTGAAATTATATGATCTTAAGTATTTAATGTCTATGAATGGAATTTATAAATTAAGTTCAAGTGTGTAATTTGATTCAGTCATTATTAAATTTACCTGCAGATGTGTCAAAATCCAAGTGAATTAACGGTCTTACTGTATAGTTTTGCCCTGCATTAGGAAATGTAAATTTTGATCACATAGCATTTGCATTGAGACCTAAAATTACTCTATTCTCAATAGTGCACATTCCTTTCCAAAATGAAATGAGGTTTTGGAAATAACAGAAGTTTGATGGTATGAATCTAGAGTGAAACCGGTCACTTGCACGACAGAAAAGACTATACGAAACACTCTCAAACGTTAAAGAATTTTTTAGGCTTATTAACAGCATCAGCTAAAAGCAGAACTCATGTGGTTACTTTTTAAAACTCCAGAGAAAAACTGACATTGTAAGAAATGGAGAGTGAAAGATCTGCCTCTACACATAAAGCTATCCAGTTCAGACTACAGGGAAATGGAGTAAGAGCACTCTGACTGCAAAGACCAGGAAGAAGTACTGTTTAGAGGACAGGGCCCCTCACTGCTTTCACCTGGAATTCTCCTCTGTGAAGTGAGCACCAGCGTTCTGGAGAGAGAACTCCGGATCAGGTGGGTGATCCTTTCGGTGGGTGTGGAAAAACCCCTGTAGAGCCGACTTAACCAACAGAACATGTTGGAGCCACTGGATGGCAAGAGACACTCAGGAATCCCAAGCAGCCGGTGCTGGATGATGGTCGAAAGTCAGTTTTGGAAATAGACACAAATCCCTTAAAATGCTAGTTGTTTTCGCTCTCTTCTCCAATATTTAAGCCCTCCTTCGCTGAACATTCAAGTACACGTGTCTAGAAACTAGATAAATCTGCAAGTTCTTTGGGGCCCCTGGAGAATGGGTAGGGGAAAGCTCCTTTTTCCATCTCAGTGCATCAGTTTCCACTTCTAACCAACAGAACTGCGGCCAGAAGAGCCGACAGAACCCTTCCACACAGCAGGGCAAAGGGGGTCTCCGCGACCATGCAGAGGCGAATGGGCTGATCACTAGGAGCACGCCCTTCCTCTCCTTCCACGCTTCCCCGAAGGTCCCCGCAGGCCGAACTTGGGATACAGCAAGGAACTCGGCCTCAGGTTTCAAATCTCCCAGACCTGGCGGCCGGCCTCCGGTCTTCAGAAACAGGAAGGCCAGCAAACCCAAAACTTTCGCACATCCAGTACCCAAACGCAGACGACCGCTGAGAGACAAACACTCCTTGTTCCGCCTGAAAGCGCCCAAGATTCGGTGAAGGCATTCAACCAATCAGAGCAGAGGTGCCGTCGCCATGCTTATTATGGGCGGAAATTTGCCGGAACGCTTCACGCAGGTAGAAAAGTTCTGAAGACTAACGCATCGCTATTAGCCACGTTGACAATTACGGTCAGGTCGCTCGACTTCAGTTAAAATGGCGACCGTAGTAGCTTCACTAACGTGTAATCCGTACCAGGGAGGCTTCCGGCGTCCGGCCGCAGAGCGAGACGGGAAACTATTTTAAACTGAGGCGGCGGCTGAGCCCTGGGGTGCCGCTTCTCAAAGGCGGGATTTCAGAGCTAGCTGGGCCTCTGAAGGGCTCAAGTGGAGAGGGGTTGAGTTGGGACCCGCTGCCCCTTATTCTTTCTCTTCTCTGGCAGAAGCCGACTCCGCAGGAGCGAGGGTCGCAGAGCTGGTGGGTGGGTCAGCGGAAATGCCCCTCCTGGGGTGAAGTCGCCGGACGTCTGAGGAAACAGTTTGTGTCCCTGGTGAACCCGGTTATTGTGGAGCGAGAGGGAATTTGAAGGGGCCAAGGATTCCTTCCGAACTCTCTCTTAGCTGCCGTTTTGGCGATTTTTTTTTTTTTTTTAAACTTCAGGGGGTTTTAGTTTCTACCTAGTTTTGGAACCAGACTTGAAGAATGATTCGTGAAGCCAGAATGGGTGACAGCGTCATCACGGCATCTTATTGGTAAGACCCTTTGTCTTTGTCCAGGCCCGGCAGTACACTTTATGTTGTGCCCTGAAATGTGCCCGTTTTCTTTACAACACTTGTGTGTTTAGATGGCTGCACGCTGCGTGCTTGGCACTCGGATTTGGGTATTGGTGACAGTGTAAAAAGTGAATTAAGTCAGGGCCTACCACAAGAAAAACAACTAAGTTGTAACTGTGTGTTATGAACTACAAGTGCGAGAAGAGCTGGTGATAACTCTGGATACCGGCCAGCTTCTGAGGACGTGAAACCTCCAGGATGGGTTGCATTTGGTCAGGCGTATGGGAGGAGAGCAGCATTCTTAGTTGGCTGTAGGCTGAATAAAAAAGTCAGGGAGCAGAGGCGAACATGACAGGCACGAAGGGGGGTAGTAGGGTAATGATCTCTCTAGGGCAGTGGTTCTTCTTTTTTTTTTTTTTAAGATTTTATTTATTTATTTGACAGAGATCACAAGTAGGCAGAAAGGCAGGCAGAGAGAGGAAGGGAAGCAGGCTCCATGCTGAGCAGAGAGCCTGATGCGGGGCTCGATCCCAGGACCCTGGGATCATGACCTGAGCCGAAGGCAGAAGATTTAACCCACTGAGCCACCCAGGTGCCCCTAGGGCAGTGGTTCTTAACCTTTGCAAAAATTGTCTGTGAGACCTTTCTTCCTGCCCTTCCACCACCAAATACACATGCATACGACATTTTGCATACAACCTAGGGTTGTTGGATTTTGTCCATAGATCTTGGGCTGAGAACTCCTGGAGTGGAAAATGAACCTTAATAGTGCCAGATAATAAGATCACATAATGTGGTACCATGAAACTCGGAGAAGTTCTGACTTCATCTGAAAGATGAGTGGGAATTGTTATGGGATCTCCAGCAAGGTAATGACAAGATAGAAGTAGGGTCTATGGATCACTGGTTATGGACTGGGGAAAGGGGTTAAGACTGGGACACTAAAATAATGAGTCAAGATATATTTTGAACCTCTAACTTATTGGGCAGGGCAAAATTGCCCATTACGGAGTGCAGAGTGAGAGGGTAAAATAAACGTTAAGTCATTTTCTGATCTTTCATGTGTGGACTGGGATATTTCACATTACCATAATGTTAAATACTTAGGGGACGGTTTTTCTCAAAACCTACTGTCTCGGGGCGCCTGGGTGGCTCAGTGGGTTAAAGCCTCTGCCTTCGGCTTGGGTCGTGATCCCAAGGTCCTGGAATCGAGCCCCACATCAGGCTCTCTGCTCAGCAGGGAGCCTGCTTCCTTCTCTCTCTCTGCCTGCTTCTCTGCCTACTTGTGATCTCTGTCTGTCAAATAAATAAATAAAATCTTAAAAAAAAAAAAAACCTACTGTCTCAGTGCTAATAGTCTTTATCGCACCTAGACAGATTTTTAAAATCTTTTTTTGGAATTCATAGCATTTTTCTTTTAAGGAGTCAAATTCATCAGGGCATCTTTTGCCTTGAAATTGATCTCTATTGAAAGGCAATGTGAAAGAAAGAGATAAGAGCACCTTCTCTGGCATTATACTGTCTGGGCTCAAATCCTGGTTCTGGCCTTCTTTACCTGTATGAGTTTGGCAAATTACTTAACTTCTTTGTCTTTTTGTCTGTCAGCTGGGAATATAATAAACCACCTCATGGGGTTTGAGGATTAAATGAGACAGAATTTGTTAGGGGCTTGGACAAGTACCTGGCACCTGATGAATACTCAATAAATGTTAGCCATTAATCCAAATAAAAATTTGAGAGAAGCATTCTGTGTAGATGGGACTGATTAAAATCCCCCCCATTTGTTTGTTTGTTTGTTTAAAGACAGAGCACCAGTGAGGGGTAGGTGTAGGGGCAGAGGGAGAGGGATAGTGAGAGAATATCAAGTAGGCTCCATGCCCAGTGCAGAGCCCGAAACAGGGCTCAATCTATGACCCTGAGATCATGACCTGAGCCGAAATCAGGAGGCAGACTCTTAACTGACTGAGCCACCCAGGTGCTCTAAAACTGCCTTTTAAAGATGTAATTCAGTATGCATTTAAAGGTAGAATGCTTTAAAGTAGCTGCTATTTAAGTTGTGGGGTGTATGATGTTCCTTGGGTATTATCTGAACATTTGGGTATTGGTGACAGTGTAAAAAGTGAATTAATATTTAATATTTAAATATATATTTTATTTATATATTATAAATATATATAAAATATATATATATTATATATATATTTAAATAATATTTAACCTGTGAAGTTTTGTGCAAGATACAGAGGGTGCCCTATTTTGACATAATGAAATTTAAATATAGTAATAAATACAAGTTTTCATTTTTTAAAAAGATTTTTATTTATTTGAGAGTGTGCACGAGCGCACCCGGAATCATGACCTGAGCCTAAGGCAGACTCTTAACCAACTGAGCCACCCAGGTTGCCCCTACAAGTTTTCATTTGTGAAAAACTTTTATCAAAGGGTAACTGTGCCAATACTTGGGAGTAATTATTTTATTTTTATTTATTGTAATTTTTAAATCATAATTTCTTTTAATGAAAATTATAATTTCAGAGGTCTAGGAAATTCTTCTGTTCATTTAAACCGATACTTGTTAGGGGAGGTGGGCAGAGAGAGGATGGATTAAGTGGGTGATGGGTATTAAGGAGGATACTTGCACTGGGTGTTGTATATTAGTGATGAATCACTAAATTCTACTCCTGAAACTACTATTACACTGTATGTTAACTAACTGGAGTTTAAAGAGAAACTTGAAACTGCAAAACAAATAAAAAGACAATCCACAATACTTGCTAACAATTAAAGAACACTCAGCATTATATTAGGATAATTATACAAGAGACATAAAAAGCATGATTTCAGTCAAAGTATTTTTGTCTTCTTGGGAAGAGAAAAAATGCACACCAAAAAAATTATACAAGGAAGTGTATGAATGTGGGCCAAAATGAGTGGTATAGACAAGATGATCAAGGAGAGCTATGTGGAATGGCATTTTATTAATCTCTAAACATTTTATGAACACACAGCCATGCCCCTATACACATTGCTTCCAGGAATGAGCTATTGATACAGGCAGAAGTGTATAATATACACTTCTGGGGCAAAAAGATTAACAAAACCCTACTACTTGGAAAGAGATCAAATTCAAGCATGGTCCTAAAGGAGGTGGATTGGAAAAAGGACACTTCAGATAAGGAACATGATTGACAGGCAAAAACATGAAGACAAGAATATGTTTATGCCTAGGAGAAGTAGGATAAGGGCAAGCTATATTATGAGAGATCTTAAATAGCAGAGAAGTAGCATTTTTCTCATCACTGTAAAGTTTTTTGCACAGGTGACTAATGATAAAGTGTCATTACTGAAGAGTGGATTACCCTTAGATATGGTCATCAGAACCTAGAAGTAGCTTTGGGAGTGGATGACAGAGACTGTTGAAGGAAAAACTAGAAAGAATCTGCTTAATGACTACATGTTCAAGAGCCACTTTAAATGAATTTTAACATAGAAAATTGACAGGAATTTGAAAATGGACCAGCTAATTTTGGGAGGAGAATGGGAGGGAGTTGAATGTAGTTTTGAACATTCTGTGTTTGAGGCATTGGTAAGATTTTTTTTTTTTTTTTAAGATTTTATTTATGTATTTGACAGAGAGAGACACAGTAAGAGAGGGAATACAAGCAGGGGGAGTGGGAGAGGGAGAAGCAGGCTTCCTGCCCAGCAGGGAGCCCGATATGGGGCTTGATGCCAGGACACTGGGATCACGACCTGAGCTGAAGGCAGAGGCTTAACCCACTGAGCCACCCAGGCGCCCCTGGTAAGATATTCTTAAAAATAGCCTATAGCCAATGAGAACTTGGTTAAAAAGTCAAAACTGGGGTGGGGGGGGAGGGCAGGGAATGAAAGGGAAAGAAAGAACTTATAGCAAGGAGAAGAAGAATCAGTGAAGCTGTGAGCCTGAATTAATTTTTTAGTGTTCAGAATTCTGGTTTTATTTCTTTTTATGTAGATCATGGATTCTTATGATACACCAGGATCGACTCCTAGGCACAGTGCGTCCTCAAGGCTTAAAGATTACTTTATAGGTGCCACCCCTTTGCAGAAACGATTAGAATCAGTCAGGAAGCAGACTTCATTTATCCCAACGCCACCTCGAAGGAAAATTCCTCAGTGTTCACAATTACAGGTATGCCTTTTGTGTTCCTTCATGTTACTCAATAATTGAGAAAATCTGTGAGCAAAACATTTTGACTTTTGTTACTTTTTTTTAGGATTTTATTTATTTATTTGACAGGCAAGTAGGCAGAGAGGCAGGCAGAGACAGAGAGAGGAGGAAGCAGGCTCCCTGCTGATCAGAGAGCCCGATGTGGGGCTCGATCCCAGGACCCTGGGATCATGACCTGAGCTGAAGGCAGAGGCTTAACCCACTGAGCCACCCAGGCGCCCCGACTTCTGTTACTTTTTAATAGTATTTTTAGTATCTTCTTAATCTCAGGTAATAAAATGAGAAATAGCAAAAACAGTTATTCACACTATCAATACCACCTCTGTTATGTCTTTTAACGTCCTTTAATCTGGAGCGTTTCCACAGTATTTCTGTATTTTTTATGACACTGACATTTTGAAGAATGTAGTTTCCTCCCTTTTCCTTTTTAAATTGAATATTCTTCATTTTGTATTTGTCTGATGTTTCCTCGTGGTTAGATTGAAGCCGCATATTGGCTGGAATGCAGCGTAGAGGCTGTCGTGTCCTTCTTGGGGAATAACATCAGGTAGCACAGAGGTGATGTCAGTTTTGATCATCCTGTCAAGGTGTTGCTCAGTAATTGTTGTTTTATTCATCTCTGCATCTGATAAGCAGTCTGGGAGACACTTTAGGATAATGTAAATATTCCGTTCCTCTCTAAATTTCCCCTCATACTTAACATCCATCGATAATATTTGCTTGATTCTATCTTTATCATTATGGTCACAGTATCATGATTTTCCAACTCCCATTTGCTACCTATTTACCAACCAGCCTTTGGCATTCTATTGTAAACGCTTCTTATTTCTCCCCACTTAGTAATTTATCAGACTTAATTTTTGTTTTTCAAAACTTTCTAAATCATTACTAAATTATTTTGGTGTTTATATTGTCTCCAATTTGTCTACAGCAACATTCTCTGTTTTGATTATTTATAAACAACTCTGAACATTTAGAACATGAGTAATTTGTGATTTCACTGGAACATGAAATAAAACCCTAGACAGTGTGGGTTTGGTGTTTGGTTTTGAGGAACATAGCAAGGAGTGTGGTTGATCAGTCACCCACATCCTCCCTGGAGTCTTATTTTCTTCTCCATGTTGTGTGCCTCATATCTCTTGAGATATGGGAAAATTTTTGCTTCTTTCTGAAAAGTTTCTTAAATTACTAGTGCTGGTAATGAAAGTGATGGTTCCTAACCATAAAATAGAAATTGCATATAAAATAAAGATTGGAATGTTCAATTCATTTCCTTACCACTGCGAAATAAGTAATTTCCCCATACCTTTTGATCATAACAAGAAAAAAGTTTATAGCTTTTTATACAAGTTTTTTTTTTAAAGATTTTATTTATTTATTTGACAGAGTTCACAAGTAGGCAGAGAGGCAGACAGAGAGAAAGAGAGAGGAGGAAGCAGGCTCCCTGCTGAGCAGAGAGCCCGATGTGGGGCTCGATCCCAGGACCCTGGGATCATGACCTGAGCCGAAGGCAGAGGCTTTAACCCACTGAGTCACCCAGGCGCCCCTTTTTATACAAGTTTTATAAAAGTTTCCATGAACACTCTAGTCAGAAGAAAGATTTCTATCAAGTAGACAACTGTAATGAAAGTTCCAAAAGATAGTTGGAGCTGTAAGACTGTCAGAAAGTGTGGATTTTATAGAAAATTTCAATTTAGTATCAAAGTAGGAACCTGTATGGGGATGTATGAAGACCCTCAATAATGCCATAGGGCCAATAGGAAGGAAGTGTTTTTGTTTTTGATGGTACCCGTGGTTCTAATAGAGCATGGTAGAAATGCTCCGAAGTATCTTTTTATTTAATCTGCTGAATTTGACATTGTTTCGTAGAGTAGATTTACTGCCAAACGTTTAAGAAAATTACATAATTAGGGGCACCTGGGTGGCTCAGTGGGTTGAGCCTCTGCCTTCGGCTCGGGTCATGATCTCGGGGTCCTGGGGTCGAGCCCCGCATCGGGCTCTCTGCTCAGCGGTGAGCCTGCTTCCCTCTCTCTCTGCCTGCCTCTCTGCCTACCTGTGATCTCTCTCTCTGTCAAATGAATAAAAATAAAAAAAATTAAAAAAAAATTACATAATTAAAACTAATCAAATTAAATGCTCCAGGAATAGTTACTATTTTGAAAATCTATAATTTTAAATTTCTAAAGGTGAAACGTAAATGTTCATCCAATAAATATTTATTGAGCAAGTGTTCTAGATGCTAGAGATATAATACCTAGTAAAATAGGCAAAATCCCTGTTCTTATCATACTCATGCTCTAGTAAGGAATCAAACAATAAAAATCCAGTAAACATATCATGTCATATAGTCATAAATGCTGTGAAAAAAAAAAAAAGCGGGTTAAGGAGCTAGAAAGTGTGCTTGCTTCAGCAGCACATATACTAAAATTGGAACGATAGGGGGACCTGGGTGGCTCAGTGGGTTAAAGCCTCTGCCTTCGGCTCGGGTCGTGATCCCAAGGTCCTGGGATCAAGTCCCACATCGGGCTCTCTGCTCAGCGGGGAGCCTGCTTCCTCCTCTCTCTCTGCCTGCCTCTCTGCCTGAGTGTGATCTCTGTCAAGTAAATAAATAAAATCTTAAAAACAAAATTGGAACGATACAGAGAAGATTAGCATGGCCCCTGCACACGAATGACATGCAAATTCATGAAGCAGTCCATATTTAAAAAAAAAAAAGCGTCTGTAAAGTGACAAAATTGGAGTGAGACAAAATTAGATAGGGTGGCCTCTTGAGTGACATTGGACAGACCTGAGTGAGGGAAAGGAACATGCCATATGAACACATGTGGGAAGAATATTCCAAAGTGAAGATATAGCAAATGAAAAGGCTTGTTCAGGGATCTTCAGAGTCTTGCAAACTCTGTTTTGGCTGGAGTGTAAAGATTAGGTACCCAGTAATGGATTGATATTAAATATTTTAAAAATACTGTGATTAAGAATTAGGAAATATTAGTAAATGAGAATTTAAACTTCTTTGTCTTGATTTTTTTTTTCTGTAGGAAGATAATGATCCTCAAAAAGTTGCATTCCTTCTGCATAAACAATGGACTTTATATAGTTTAACTCCCCTGTATAAATTCTCCTATACTAATCTCAAAGAGTATTCTAGACTTCTGAGTGCATTTATTGCTGCTGAGAAGCAAAAAGGGCTTGCTGTGGAAGTGGGAGAAGACTTCAACATCAAAGTGACTTTCTCCACTCTCCTAGGAATGAAAGGAACACAAAGAGACTCTGAAGCCTTTCTCGTCCAGGTATGTTATATAATCAGTCTTTGCTTCCCAGGGGGAAAGAATCTGCACTGTCTTGGTTTAGAAATTGTGGTATTTTCTTACCGTTTAAAAAAAAGAAACTTAAGGTTGTGATTTATAACCTATCTTATGTCTCGTTTGTCCAAATTACAGTGATTAGATATGGCCAACGTAAGTTTTTTTCCAATTACATTATAGTCATGTTTATCATAAAATACATAAAAATATAAAGAAAATTGAAAACCACAGTTTAACATTTTGGTATACGTCTGACAGTAGACGATCTGAGTAAGCCTCTATTTATTAAAAAATTGAGTCAGTACTTTTCAAAATAGAAAGCATCAGGCCCAGATGGGTTCACTGGTGAATTCTGCCAAACATTTAAGGAAGGAGTTATTTCAGTTCTTTACAGTCTCTACAGTCTCTTCAGAGAATAGAATGAGATTAACTCATTCTGTGAGGCCAGCATTACCCAATACTAAAACTACATGAAGATTACTAAAACTATAGGTCAGTATCTCTCATGAACATAGATACGTCTGTGTGGCTATCTGGATCTATTAAAATTGGGATTATATTGCCCACACTTTTGCATATGGCCTTTTTAAAAAAAATTAATAATAATATTATAATTACTCATGTCATTAAGAATACTACATGTTTGTAAGGAAACCTGCATAAATCTGGACTAAATTCCTAGAAGAGGAATTTTAGCAAAAAAAATGTATATGTATATACATATATAAGATATGTATATATATATAATCTATCATCATATATTGTGATGTATCATGCCAAGTTACTCTTAGAAATGTAACGTTCTGGGGTGCCTGGGTGGCTCACTGGGTTAAGCCTCTGTCTTCAGCTTGAGTTATGATTCCAGGGTCCTGGGATCGAGCCCCGCGTCGGGCTCTCTGCTCAGCGGGGAGCCTACGCCCCGCTCTCTCTCTGCTCCTGCCTCTCTGCCTACTTGTGATCTCTGTCTGTCAAGTAAATAATAAATAAAATCTTAAAAAAAAAAAAAAAAGAAATGTAACGTTCCTTCCTGTGTGTAGTATTTAAAAGTAGTAGGACTATCTTTGGATTGATTAAGAAACTGGATTTATTATTCATGCTTGCTACTTCTGTTTCTTGAGTGAACTCATCTTAATCATTATAAATTAAGTTCTGAAATAATCAAAAAGGCCTAATTTTGCTTATTTGTGTAGATCAGGGATCAGCAAACTATGGCCTACAGGCCAAATCTGACATGTTACTTGTTTTTGTTTTTGTTGCTATGTTTGTAAATAAGGTTTCGTTGGAACAGTGCTCCTCTCATTGTTTACATACTGTCTGCGGCTGCTTTTGTGCTCCAACAGCACGTTTGAGTATTTGCTGCAGAGACAATATGTCTTGCAAAGCCTAAAATACTTACTATCTGACTTCTACAGAAAAAATTTGCTAACCCCTGCTGTAGGTCATGATATTGACAAGGATCTTCAAGATTCCTAGGATTAGGTTTAGCTGCATAAAACAGAAAGCCTAAATAACTGTGAATGAAATGTCTGTCTTGAGGTTTAATAGATAGAGCCTTATTTGTCTTACAAAAAAGTGGAGGTAAGGTGTTCAAAGCTGGCATATGCTTTATGAATGAATAATCTAGGCTCCTTCTGCCTTCTCTCTCATCCTTGGTGCATGGCTTCTCTCCGTAAGGTTGCGTGTAGTCTGACTTGGCTCCTGAAACTCTAAATATTGTCTGCAAGTTCCAGGCAGGAAGTAGGAGGGCAAAGAGGGTGCCTGCCACTGAGGAAACCTTTAATGAGACTAAGACCCAACAACTTCTCTTTACATCCCAGTTGGAAGGCAGACTAGGAATTTTTTCTTTTTTAGTGGGTACTTTGCCACCTCATTAAAAGCACAGTTTTATTGTGGAAGGAAAAGTAGGTACCGGGTAGACAGTTAGCAGTCTTTGTCAAATTCCCAGAGAAGGGATGTGATTTGCATGTCAACAGGCAAATATTCTTTCAGGAATAGACATGACCTCTTGAGCTCTTAGTAGAGTGTCCTAATAGTGACCGAAGTAAATCTCATTTCTTCGTATTATTACAGAACTTTTAGGTTATGAAAGTGTGATAGACCTATCTGGGCTTCAAGGCTTTTGAGTCTCTTACACTCTCTTGAACAAGAAGGAGAAATATGCTAAAAGTAGTTGTTAAAATGACTATCTCTAAAGGGATAGGAAACTAGGCTATGATCTTCACTTTATCCTGGTCAGACTTTAAAACTATGAGAATCTGGAAGGTACGTTTGTCCTGTAGTTTAGAGATTTGAAGTTTGAAATGTTAGTCTGCTGGGAAACATAATCAGGATTCTAAAAAATCTGAATGGATTGGCACAATGGGTCAAATTGAAAGAGATTAAAATTTTAATAGGAGTAAATATATCGCCTCTCTATATTAGGGGAGGTTTACTTTTTTTTTTTTTTTTAAAGGTTTATTTACTTTAGAGAGTGCACAAGCAGGGGGAGGGGCAGAGGGGAAAGAAAGAGAGTCTCAAGCAGACTCCCTGCTGAGCACTGATGTGGGGCTCATTTTCAGGACCCTAAGATCATGACCTGAGCCAAAATCAAGAGTTGGCTGCTTAACTGACTGAGCCACCCCGGTGCCCTAAGATTTACCTATTCATAGTAAAAATGAATAGGGATAATTTATATAAAGCTGTCAACTAAAAATGAGAACACTACTGAATCTAAGATTATATTAATAGCAGTAAAATCTAGGTTAAAGATGGTAGCAGTCCTTTAATCAGATCCTTTTGAAGTGATTATATTCACTTATGAATGACTCCCGTGCTGAAGAATTTCAGAGTGACCAGGATGACGTGTATCTCATAGGAGGAATAGTTGAAGAAACTAGAGATGTTGAACTTGACATTACATATGATACAGATCATCAAATATTTGACTGTAGAAGAGAAATTTGATTTGTTCTACATGCACATAAGGAAGAAAACAGGACCTACGGATGGAAACTGGGGGCCTAACCAATGAAAGAACATTTTTAAGTTGATAGAGCTGCCTTGGGAAATCCTGAATTCTTCCTTTATGGAAGAATTCAAGCACGTTGGATTTGGTGACTTTTTATAGTCCCTTCTGAAGTTGAGATTTTGAGATTTTTTTTTTTCAGCATAGTGTACTTGGTTACACTATATTGGCATTCCATATTTTGCATTTTGGCTGCACCAAGATCTTGCCATCCATATACCATGTCCTAATAAGACTATTAGGAGGAATGTCAATTAACTTGATAAAGCCTAATGATGATTAGGGAGATTATTTCCTTTGTGTTTTATTGGCAAGCAGTACAACATATCTTCTTATTTTTAAATGTACTAATTTTGAGAAGCTGTAATTTGGAGTAAGTGTACTTTTGAATTTAATGAACCTTTTTTTTTTCTTTGTAGATTCTGTCAAGATCTCAATTGCCATCTGAGAACAGAGAACTTAAAGTGTTGTGGACTGGTTGGTTCTGCTGTATATTTGGAGACAGTCTTCTGGAGACTGTTTCAGAAGATTTCACCTGTGTACCCTTATTCCTTGCAAATGGAGCAGAGACAAATACAGCCATAGTAGGAACATGGTTTCAGAAAACTTTCGATTGTTATTTCAGTCCCTTAGCAATCAATGCTTTTAATCTTTCCTGGATGGCTGCTATGTGGACTGCATGCAAAATGGACCAGTATATGGCTGCTACCGAATTTCTTTGGTCTGTACCCTGTAGCCCTCAAAGTCTGGACATTTCTTATGCCATACATCCAGAGGATGCAAAAGCTTTGTGGGACAGTGTCCACAAAACCCCTGGGGAAGTTACTCAGGAAGAAGTTGACTTATTTATGGACTGCCTTTATTCACATTTCCATAGGCATTTCAAAATTCATTTATCAGCCACAAGATTGGTCCGTGTTTCTACATCTGTAGCTTCAGCACATACTGATGGAAAAATAAAGGTTAGTTTGAACAAATCTAGTTAAGTAATTTTTCCTTATTGTTACGTAGCTTTCAAAATGTATGCATTTGCTACATTGAAGAAACACATTTGAATGCTAATTCGAGACAGTAGGATATTTTATGCTTTATAAATAATTTACTAGAAAGTCTTCAGTCTCTAGATATAGCTTTATAATGGGAGAATACTATATGCTGTGAGCTACAGACTTTGAAAATAGGAATTATTCTGTAGTAATTTTGAAATATTAAAAATTGTTTTGTCAAACTTGGAAATAATTATCGGAGCAACAGAGGATTTTGTATGTGAGATCAGAAAATTATAGCCAGAAATACATAACTAAGATGTCATCTAGGCTTTTCTCTCCCTAGGAAGGAAATAATTGACATTGTTTTACTCTCTATGAAATACTTACTAGAGGAAATATCAGAAATAAGAGAGTGGGCACCTAAATATAATAAAATATATTAATATATTTAAAATGTTTTAAAATGTAGCCATAGTAAACAGTGAATGTTGAGCTTGTGTCTGTGCTAGGAGTTTAATACACCTTAATTTTAATCTTTAGAGCAACCCTGTAGTAGGTGTTTTTATCCACATTTTATTTTTAAAACAAGGGAACAGGCCAAGTTAGGTGAAAGTGATACCAGCAGAATAGCTTAGTCAGAGGAGGAGTCAGTATTTGAATGCTTATCTCTTAGGTTCCAAAAAGCTCATACTCTATAAACACTGTATTAGTGTTTTTCAATTGAAGGTCCTATTGCAATAGTAAGTTGGAAAGTAATTTTGATGGGAAGAGACCAGCTTTAAAAAACAAAAGAAAGATATGTAATAGAAAATATAAAAATGACTGTATCATATGTAGTAAGGGTAACATTTGCTTGTACTGGGTCATGACGTTAAGTTTATTTCTTTGGTTTTCAGTGAAACGTTTGAAAGATTATACCATACCTTGTTTAATTTGATATTATAAAAGGAAAATAATTCCATTTTAGCACCTCAGAATTCAGTGTTCATGAAGTCCTTGTGTATTTAAGATTTTGTGGTCATATGCCCACTCTATAAAAACTGCTTCATATAATGTGTTATTGTGAATATAAAGGTGGTTCTTAAACACATTGATTTTATCTGGTCTATACTATATCTAAGATCCTCTTTTTTAAAAAATTTTATTTATTTTAGAGATAGAGCAAGTGAGTGGGAGGGGAGAGCAAAGAGAGAGGGATAAGCAGACTCCATGCTGAGTGTGGAGCCCAGTTCAGGGCTTGACGCCAGGCTCGATCCCACAACCCCGAGATCATGACCTGAGCCAAAATCAAGTCAGACGCTTACCCTACTGAGCCACCCAGGCGCCCCACTAAGAGCCTCTCTTAATGATTTAAGATGGTGACTGGCTCCTACCTTCATATAATGCCATGGTGATAGCTAACATTTAAACATTTTTTTTGATAGTGAACTTTTATTAAGCAGTAATGGTGCCAGGCATACAAAGCATTTTGTATATACCATCTCATTCAGTTTTTCACAACAACCTATTGAGATAGGTTGTGAAGAGGAAACTAGCACAGAGGATAAGTAGGTTCCCCAAGATCAAATAGCTAATAAGTGGAGTTTGAATTTGAACCCAGTCATCTGAGCTTATGCCTTTAACTGCAACAGTGTACTGCCTCTCAAAAGTTTGAAATTAGTATATTAACCAGGTTTCTGCTATCTGCTTAGTTTCTACAAGGTACTTTTGGAATCATATATCCCTTTGAAAAGAAGGAAGGTATGGAACCTCTTTGTAGAAAATGTACATACTTATTTTGCATAGAAATCCAAGGGGTTCAGGGATATCCCCTTCCTCTCCTTACTCCTTATATACATAGTTAGCCCATCTGTGGAAATCAGAAAAAATTAAGAATTTTACTTATTTCTAAGCACCACTGACTAATAGTTGTGTATTTATTAAAGTTACTAGTCTTCATTAAATAGATCAAAATTTATTTGACTTAGAGCAGCAGTGGTTTGGGTTCATCTTAGCTTCCAGATGTGGAATTTAAAATAAGCCTGGAATATTTATCAAATAGCAAACTGCTTTGTTATCATAATTCTGATTTTAAGTATCTGTTTTTTTTGTGTGTGTGTGTGTGTGTTTTTTTTTTTTTTTTTTGTGTGTGTGTGTGTGTTTTTGTTTTTTTTTTTTTCAGATTCTGTGTCATAAATACCTTATTGGAGTCTTGGCATATTTGACAGAACTGGCAATTTTTCAAATTGATTGAAGTCTTGTGGGGACTATAAATGATGGATTATATGCTTTTTTTCTCACTGATTATTTGCCTAATTGCTATTCTGAGAGGCCCCGCAGGAGAAATAAGCATCTGTCTCTGCATCTGTTTTCCTCTCAGTGCCTTTGGAATTGCCCAGATGGAATGGAATTCAAGAAGGATCTAGAAGAAAAAAGAAGGTGATAGTGAATGAATCACAGCCAGGTGCTCCATAATAGTCATGATGATCTGGGATGGCAGTGTCTAGAAAATGCTGAGTTGTTATTTTCTTGGACCATCTTTCTAAAAAATATGTAATGTTTATTACATCAAATTTTTAGGATTCAAATGAGGTATCTCTAATATTATTTCTGATTTGGATGTTTAAAACCGTCAGTTCCTTTTAAGCATTTTAGAGTTGGATCCAGAAAGAATTTCTGTCTTCTAAAGACATTTTCCTAGTATCATTTCACTGTAGAGAGCTGGCAATTAAAATCTCCAAAGGAACCTGGAGATTAACATACACTTTTTAAAGCCACTAATATGCTTCTGTTTTTAATACTGTTCAATTCTTATTGCAATGTTGAATTAAATATTTTTAAAATGAAGCAGTGTGTTTATCAGTGTCTTGGTGACAGATCTTTAATGTATCAAGAACGAGAATTGTAGTCTTTTTCTCTAGCACAAATGTTATAAGCCAACAATCATATAGAATCAGAGGCAACTGTGAGTCTCTTGCGGGCAGAAATTATCTTAACTTTCATGTCCCTAATCTTGCTTTAGCACAGTACTTAGTAAATATCTGCAGGTTAAGTGAACGCATTTTAACCAGCTCTTCCATTTTATAGATGCAAACTATGAGTTCGAGCAACCTGGGAGACTTGCCCAACTTGCTATATCGATGTCTCTAAATTTTAATTTATTGAGCATAGGAATATTTTGTTTTACTTTGCAAATGATGTTTTTTAAAATTTGTTTGAAAGAAAATAACTTTAATAGGCTGTCTTTCTAAAAACAAAGGTTAACTTCTGGATTGGGGTATTATTTCACATATATCATAAATAGCAGGGATAGTGGAAAAAGCATGGGCTTTGGAGTCAGACAGTATTTTCATTTAACTAATATTAAGCTCCTATGTTGTACTTGAAATTGTATTGAGCAACAGGGGTATAGCAATGAAGACAGAAAATATCCCTGTCATGTGGAAATTATATTCTAGTGGAGGAAGGTAAAAATAATTTCAGTTGAGATGAATGTTATAAAGAAAGTAAGGCAGTACATTACGGAAAGGGGTGATTTTTTTATACTGTTGTCCAAGGTCTCTCTGAGGAAGTGACATTTGAGCTGAGTCCTGAGTGGTGAGAGGGAACCAGCTGTGGGAAGGTGTGTGGAAGAATGTGCTAGGCAGGTGAAATGGCAAGAGCACAGGCCTTGAGATGGCTAAGAACTTGGCTCATTTGAGGAACATAGGAAGTCTGTGTGTGTCTTGAGCAGAGTAAGGGTGGAGTAGTAGTAGATGAAAGTGAAGAAATTGTGCAACAGAGACTTATTCCACTGACTGTCTTCCAATTTTTGACTTGGCATGTAGCTGTCTAGAATAAAGATGACCTTTTCCGGCCTTTCTCAGAGCTAGGGGTAGTCATATGACTTACGTTCCGACCCATGGTCTATAAATGGAAGGATTGTGTAGAGCCTCCAGGAAATCTTCCTTAAAAAACAGTGGGCTAGTACCCTTTGCCTTTTAATTATTCTTCCATCTTTTCTGCTTGGAACACCTATAATGACTATAGGTGACTAGAATTCTAGCCATTATTTGTGGTCACGGGGATGCAGGTTAGATCATAGGGGTGGTGGAGCATGGTCTGAAAAGAGTTTGTGCTTTTTTTTTTTTTTAAGATATTATTTATTTATTTGACAGGGATCACAAGTAGGCAGAGAGGCAGGCAGAGAGAGAGGAGGAAGCAGGCTCCCCGCTGAGCAGAGAGCCCAATGCGGGGCTCGATCCCAGGACCCTGGGATCATGACCTGAGCCGAAGGCAGAGGTTTTAACCCACTGAGCCACCCAGGCACCCCGCTTCAGGGACTTCTTAAAGCTGAACCATTGCCACCCCTGGGTAGTTTTCCTCTAGACTTATGTGTCGGGGAAGTAAACTTTTTTTTCCTAAGAGAGGGAGGGTTGTAGGGGCAGGGGGGTAGAGAGAGTGAGTCTTAAGCAGTCTCCACCTCCAGCACGGAGCCCGACACAGGACTTGATCTCACAACCCTGAGACCATGATGTGAGCTGAAGGCAAGGGTCTGCTTAACTGACAGCCATCCACTGCCCCAGGGAAGTAAACTTTTATCTTGTATAAGCTGTTGCTATTTTGGGTCTCTTGCTCAGAGCCAAACCTAGGCAGTATCTACATCATCTAAGTTTTTGTAGATACTGTGAAGAAATTGGATTTTATTCTAAATGCAATGGGAAACCATTGAAGTGTTAAGCAGGAGAGTAATATTATCTAACATGTTTTATAAGATTTGAGGGAGAATGAGTTATAGGTGGACAAGAGTGAAAGGAAAAACAGTTAAAAGATTGTTTGAAATGGTACGACTGCTACGGAGAAATTAATATCTAGCAAAATTATGTGGGATTTACCCTTTAACCAGCAGTCCCACTTCTGGCATTCTATCCCCAAAACTCACTGGCAAAACATAAATGAAGCCTGTACAAGGCTATCTATTGCAATAGTATTTGTAATAGCAAGACTGAAAAAAACCCAAATGCCTATCAAAGGGGGATTGTTTGAATAAATTATGGTGTAGCTGCACAGTGAATTACCACTATCTGACTATAAAAAGGTTTGAGGAAGATAATCTAATACTACCATGGAGTGATCTTGATCTCTAAGAGGCGTTGTTGGAAGAGTATGCGGACAGTGTAAATACAGTATGCTCTCTTTTATAGGAGAAATGGGTAAAATATGAGTTTGTGTGTATTTCCTTTATGTTTCCAAAAAACAATGGAAGGATAAACCAAAAACAAATAAAAATGTTACTTATTAGGGGGAAGGAAGAAACTGGATAAAGGGAACAGGAATGGAAGTTAAAACTTACTTGATTGTTCCTTGTTTAGAGTTTAGAACTATGTAAGTGTTTTATTTAGTTAGAAACAAAATCGGATCAAAAAGAAAAAGTGATCCTTAAAAACTGAAAATAAATAAACCTAACTATATTTAATTCATGCCATAATCACCAAAGAATTATTTTTAGTATTTTTAAATCCTAGTATTTTGACTTTATATTGTCAGCTATATCTTAGGAAAAGAAGAGCAGCAGAGGAATTTAAGTTGTACTCAGTTACCTTGTTACTAATAATATTGGTATTCTTTTATCATTGTTTGTAATAAGATAAAACATAACAATGTTATGAACCAAGATTTTGAGCATAAAAGATACACAATTATAAAGTAAAGTAAGCTCAGTAGAAACTCTGTAATGTTAAATTTGAATTGGAGATACCAGGGTGAACTCATTTATTTTCAAAATGTCAAAGTTTTAAATTTTGATTAAGTCCAGCTTATCAATTATTTTATTTCTCATGCCTTTGGTGTTGTGTCTAAGAAGTCATTGCTTAATCTGAGGTCCCAAAGGGTTACTCTTGTGTTTTTCTAAGGATCTTACAATTTTAGCTTTAAATTTAGGTCTGTTATCCAGAATTTTGAGATTTTATGTATGGGGTGAGGTAAGCATTCAGATTCATCATTTTGCATATTCATTCATTCTTATCATTCATTTGTTCTAGTACCATTTATTAAAAAGACTTGTTTTCCCATGTCACCTCTGTCGCCTTTCTTAAAAATCATTTGGCCATAGATGCTTATTTCTGGACTCTCAACTCTGTTTCATTGATGTCAGTCTTTATGCCAGTAGCACACTGTCTTGATTAGTGTAGCTTTGTAGTACCTTTTGAAATCAGGGAGTATGAGTCTTCCAGCTTTTCCTTTTTTTTTTTTTTTTAAAGATTGTTTTGGTTATTCTGGGTCTTTGGCATTTCCAAAGAATTTTAGCATCAGCTGGTCAATTTTGAAACAAAGTTAGCTGGGATTTTGATAGTGGTTGTGTTCAATCTATAGATAAATTTGGGGAGTACTGCCGTCATAATGGTATTAAGTCTAATATCTAGTCTATGAGCATGGGTATTTTCCCATTTATTTCAAGACTTCCTTCAGCAGCATTTTGGAGTTTTCAGCATACAAGTATTGCACTTTTTTTTTGTTAAATTTATTCCTAAGTATTTATTTCATGCTATTGAGAATGGCACAAATTTTTTTTTCAAAATAAGTGAAAATTATTTTGGATAGGTCAGTAGCCAGGGAGTTTCAAAGTAGAACTCCATGTCCATCCATACTCGATAATGACAGATAATTTTATGTGTTTTCTGTTTTTGAAGAGAACACCTTTTAAAAATATGCTTACACTTTTACACATTTGGAATTGCTTCCTTAATTTCATCTTTGGATTGTTGTGAGTATATATTGCTCTTTTATCCTGTGATCTTGCTGAACTTGTTTATTCTAGTAATTTTTTCAGTGAATTCCTTAGGATTTTCTGTATGCAAGACTAAATGTCATTTGTGAATAAAAAGTTTTACTTAATTTCAATCTGGATGCCTTTTATTTCTTCTCCTTGCCGAACTGCCTTGGCTAGAATTACCACCACAATGGCAGATAGAAGTGGTGAGAAGGTAGTTTTATATTGTTCCTGATCTTAGTGTATATTTCACTGTTAAATATGATGTTAGCTGTAGGTTTCTCATACATGCCCTTTGTCAGGTTAAAGCAGTTCTCTTCCTAATTTGTTGATGGTTTTTATTATGCATCTGTGTTGGATCTTGTCAAATTATTTTCCTGCACTATTGAGGTAATTCATATTTTTTTTTACTTAAAGCTACACATTTTGCTTCCAGTTTCCAGTTCCTCCTAGGAGGATAGCCACTGTGTCCTAACAAATAAAAAGTTGAAGAGATGGAAAAATCAACAACTCTTCTTGGATCCGTAAGAGGGGAGGACATAGGGTAAACTGCTGTCCCCTACATTGGAGAGTAGTATAAAGAACAATGAATGGATTTGGGATCAGGATGTGGATATGAGGTTCCGTTTCTAACATGTCCTTCTAAACTTTCTAGGCTTCAATTTACTAATTTATAAAATGAAGTGGACTGCCAACCCAACCCAATTCTGAGCTCACTTCAGTTGTGGAAATCATAGGCAAATGTTCTTTTACAGCAGTGACACTATATAATAGGTACATTTTCTCAATAATAAAACTGGACCACTTTCAGTGGAGGGAAAAAATAACCCTTTAGGCTCCAGTGAACACTTTGGTCAGTATTATAGTTCCTGGGTCTCTATTGAACCCCTGCCATGTGAATTGCTCCTATAAAGTACATGCAATAGTAGAATCTTGGGAAGTAAGTGAGTTTTATCTTGAAGACTGACTTAATGATGCAGCACTCTAAGGATCTCATGAAGTGCTTGTATTTTTTTAATGTTACATACCAGATTTACTTGAAGTCTGTTAGTACGTTTAATTCTAGGCCGTGTTTCAAGTGGGGGTGGAGTGGCAGTATGGCACAGAAAGAGAAATGGAGTGGGAGTTGGGGGAACTGATTTTTAATGTTGGTCCTATCACTGACTATATTTACTCTTAGGAAGGACATCTTTGGTTTTCAGGCTTAGAGCAAAGAAATAGATGGGTTTGGACCAGATGATTGTTAAGAGTCCTTCTAGCTCAAAATTATATGGTTCTAAGTGCTACACCAGAAAATAAGTTTAGAGGTTAGGTTATATAGTACTGTTATGTAAAATACATAAGTTCAGAATTCCAGCTGGCAGTCCCTTTATTCCTTCAGGTTGAAAGTACCTGCAACTTTACATAAAGGACATATAAATGGTATAGA